CAATGCTTCATTCATCAAATGTCTATAAAGTTTGTACCTTATGGTCACTTGTATGAGGATTGGAAGACTGGTTTGCCTTTCCAGTACCCAAATAACTTATTGAATGTTAACTCCTGTATTTCTAAGTATAACGAAATCAATTGGAATTGCTCTTGCATAGCAATTTGTTGCACTGAGGCTACAGGGAGGAAAACTGACATCCCATGTTGTACATCCTCTGCAGCAGCATAAAGCCGAGGGAGAAAAACCAAGGTGTAGTGAAAAACAGTGAAGGGCCATTTTCATTTGGCTTGTACCTAAAGAATTGTCCCAAGCAGCAGCATATACTGCTGGAATAGAAGCACCTGTTTCTGGGTGTTAACTCTGGGTACTATACTGCCCTGGTAACTTATACAGTAATGTGATATCCTATCCACACAGGTAGGAATGTAGAGCAACAGTCTCCTAACTGGAAATGAATACACCAATCTTGTGAAAAATCATTATTCATACAAAAGAGGGGAAAAAAAAAAAAGTTTCAGGCAAAATTGTGTATCCTACCATGCATCTGGCTGTAACAAGGAAGGGTTAGGAATATGGTTTTATATTAAATGCTATTAAAATAATTGGTTGTTGATCGTGGACATGATTTTTCTCTCTGTAGTCTTAACTGAACAGCCACGTCCCAGGGGCTGAGACTGGCTGCTTGGGTTGCATGCAAACCTGATAAATATAGGGGGCATAGAACAGGGAACACTGAAGTTCTCGGGATGGCTCTAGAAGGACTTGGACAGGGCATTCATGAGCTTGTGGCTCTACTTCTCAGCAGAAAATTAGCAGCAAAACATTATGGTGAAGTTTCCTAACTAGTAAAATTGATCTAATTCAATGAACTGTACCATAGTATCCAATAGTACAGTGCAAAAAATTGCCCTAAATAAAATTATCCTTGTTGAAATAAGTGAATAGAGAAAATAATGGCCACAACTAAACTCTGCATAGCGTATATAAAGAATAGTATTAGTCAGTTAGGAAAAACTGGTTTGATATCGGTCAGCAATATCAGCTTCCCTGAAGTTTCTTTTAGTTCTCCTGTAACTAAAATGAAAACTGGATGGAGTCTAAGGGAACTTCAAGAAGACGTCCCGCACTGACGTTTTACGTACGCGCCGCAGTGTGCTGGCCAGCACAGACACCAACGTACCCAACACCAGGCTGAAAGTTTTCAGCCGAATAGGGGGCACGCTTAGGCGTCCCATGGGAGAAGGCAAAGGGGGATGCAGAGGGGTTTGCAAGGGAAGCGGTTCCCCAGCGTTATCTCCTCCACGGCTGCCCCCCAGCAGCCATGGGGGGACGCGCTGCGGCTCTGCGGCCTGGCCTGACACGGCTCCCGGCCCTGACCGCTTCCCTCCGCGCGGGAAGGCAACGCCAGCTGGCTACGTCTGTCCTCCTGCCTTACTTTTGTTCCCTCGGAGCTGCCATCTGACCAGAGAAGTAATGTGGGGAAGGCCGATCCCTTTCATGACCTATTTGGGGCTATGATCGTCTAAACCCAAAATTGAAAAGGCAGTAGTCTGCAGTGGGTCGCCTTGTTTTGGTGAAAATGGTTGAAACCCTGCCATCCAGCTACAGAGCAGATTAAATCACTGGCACTATTTGGAAACATCTTTTATTTTCTATCTCATTATGTACAAGTAGATATATACAGATTTGGGGACTATCCTTTATACTCCTTCCTGAACCTTCTAATAAGACAAAAACAAGACCAAAATTTACCCCTCCTTTACCAAACTAATTAAAAAAAAAAAACAACAAAACAAAACCAAAACAAACCCCAGATCATATTAGATTACATATTTTTATAGAGATTTAGATAAATTGGTATATATCGTTTTAGATATGACAAGGTTTTAAAATCTTTATAAACTTGATGTTTATAAGCTATTAATGAACTGTGATTCAGCAATGCAATGGAAATATTATAGCTAAAAAGGAAATAAACAACTTGCCTCTTTGGCAGAATTATTACTCTGCATGTAGGAAAAGCCTCCATAGCTGGCTGCCTTTGCTGCAATTACTGGTGTTGTTCTTCTCAGGATATCCCGTTGTTTGTCATGCTCCCTCTTCAATATTTTTTGTATGGCTTTCGGATGCAGGAGCTTCATCTGATTAAATGTTTTGTACAGCAGTTAACAAATTTACCTTCTTACCCTGAACAATGATACTATGCTATAAATACTTAATGAGAACACATCTCTGGTAGGTAGCGTAAATCTGGAGCAGTTACCCTATTTTTTGTAGAAATTGCTCTGCATTGACAGTAGGGCAACTCAGTTGGGCCTGGCAGCAGCAGACAACACCCTGCCTTTTGTGGCATGAGAGAAGGACCTGGTATTTTGGGACTTATTTCTGCAAAACGCTGAGCACCTGTAATCCTGCTAACATCAGCAGGAGAGGACAGCCCACAGCTCCTGGCAGCAGCAAGCCCCAGTAATTTCTGCACTGCCCAGAAATTAACTTCGAGTCTCAAAATTGTTATTAAAATACAATTGTTTCCCTTCACAATTAGACATCCGCCCTTTGAAAAACACCTATCGTGTAACTTCTCCCCCTCTCCCTGGGCGGTGGTACTGGGAGATTAGCTCATGAGGAGGATGCAGCCCTAATGGTGACAGAAAAGACAGAGACAAGAAAACAAGCTTACCTTGCTGCCCTAAAGTTAAGCAGTAATCTGCATGGCTCCAACGCCAAAATGTGTAATAAAGTGGTTGTAGGATTGCATTGCTAAAGGTTTCACATTGGTTCTGCTTCTGTCTTGGCTATATAAATATTTATAACTTTTTATTTTATTGCTATTGCTGTATAATATAACCAAAATATCATGGAAAAAATGCAGTTTCTCAGTTTTGTATTAGAAATTGAAGATTGGATCCCCAGCTAATATAAATTGGTATTACTCCACTGATTTCATGAGAACTATGTTAGCTTTCACTGACTGTGTATCTGGTGTCTAGTTTGTGGCTCTGACCATCTAATTACCGAATAAGACTTCACCATATCGTGACATTAATATATAGTAATGGAATTCAGGGTTCTAACTGGGGTTAAGCAGCTAAATATAAGTAAATGCATTGGTTTGTGGAATAAGATCTTTCCACTTCTCTCATAATTTTCCATCGTGAAGAACTGGATTAAAACTGGTGTGCCCTATTTCCATCAGCTTCTTGGCCACCTGCTAGAGGTCTGCAGCTATAAGAAGAGGGATGGGTTCAGTATCAGCACATTTCACTTAAGGCTCGAGAAATGAGCATCTTTAATGCACACCAAATGAGCTAAATTACAGGGGAGTGTTTCCATCAGGCATTCCAGGGCTGTGAACACAGCCTGGGAGCCCATGGTCCAACAGGCTTTGTCACCTTGACTGATGCTAAGAAAGTCCTCCCTACATCCTTCTGTACACCATTCTCTACCTAAATCTATCCCACCTTTGCGAGTACAGCTTTTTGTGTGTGCCTGGGGATGTACTTACACGTGTTAAAATTCAGAAGTCTCACTGAAGTTTTAAAGCTGAATAATGTCAATGTGCTTCTAGCAGGGTAAGGGTGGGGTTGAGGTAGTTGAGGTCCTCCTGTTTAAGATCTGATACTGACCTATTAATCTTTTGACTTAACATGCCAGGTGAAGTTCTGCAACCTCAGGGGAGACTTAATTCATACAAACAGTGTTGGGGTTCCACAATGGAGTGTCACAGGTGCTTTCTTCTCAACTACAATACTGTCAGTTTCTCTGTCTTTATATAAAACATAGCAGTTAGAGAATTCAAGTTCAGGGATGAAGGGTTTAATGTTTCCTCTTCTTCCAGTCTATAAACTATTCTACGCATACGCTTCTTCTGCCCTTCCTTTTGAAGCTCTACCATCAGTGTTTAGGGTTATTCAGGCCAGAGAAAAGAAGCAGCAAGGAGCACGACTGTAGTCTCCTGTGAGAACACTGAATTATATGGGGTAATCCTGGATCTCTGGCTTCCAGGACTGCTTTAGCACTTATATATGAAGTATAAAATACATTAATGGGCTTTTGAGAATTCCTGAGATATGACCTGAATCATAGATAGAGCCTATCTGCCATTATACCTTCTTGGCAGCCATTCCTCTTCTGCAACCTTTAGCTTTGAGATCTGTTTTGGAGATGGAAGAGGCATTTTGGAAATCTTGTAGTTAGCACCTGTATACCCAGGAATCTGGCTCACACACATACTGGTTTGTACCTGTACCTTCCCCAGTATGTTTTATGTAATTTGAACATACAGCACGGTTGCTTACGTGCAGACTGTTAATCGTTGGTTGTTTTAATATTTATGTAGCATGTGAAAGGGAAAAGGGCTCAAATTCTCGTATTTTAAATAACTGTCTTGGCAGTTACACAGCCCATAGTGTTTATGTTTTCATGGAATGCAATGTTTGTGATGTTGAAATGAGAGGAGCAGATATTAGATATGGCTGAGCAGGTTCTGGAGTTGGTCTGGACTGGGTCGGCCTTGCGCCGCAGCCGGCTGTCAAGGGCATCTGGAAAGGTGCCACTTAGCACTGTATGGTTTGTCTGCTATGTATATATGCAATGTTATTACTTGCTAATGGCAGTTTGGCAACTTTTGTCTATGTCAAGCAAGCCAAATTCTGATCCCTTTGCTGCTTCTTAGAGTTAGTTCAAATTCCTCTGACACTAGCCTTGGTTCTTGTTAGAAGCCAGATGGCAGAAGCTAAGAGGTGAGCTTGATCATTCTGAGCTGCCTTGGATCTCATATTAGGTGAGGGTCCCACCCCAAATCCTGATCTCTGATAAATTAACTTTTTAACTCTGCATTACCGCTAGCGTACAAGCCAAATGTCTATGCAGATATTTATGTTCCAACAGCCAAATGCAAGCTCATTTTTTTTCTTCTGATTTATAAGAATGTTATGCTTTACAGACATGAGTAACCCATGTGGGATATCTTTCCCACAGAGTAAAACCAATGTAAATTCACATGACTCAGGGTTTTGTTTCAATGCTCATGTATAAACTCTCATTAGAAATGATTATGCTTGAACATCAAAAGAAAAGCACACTCGCTTGTATTAATGTTTAATGCATAATTCACATTGTTAGAACAAAAAACAAAACAGTCGGTGGTTGTTATGACATATTAAACATTGGCGCTACTAACCAATTCCCATAGAGGATCCTTCATTTCATTGCATTGGCTGTGTGCTGAGGTTTCCTCTTGCGCATGTTGTGCCATCATCTCAGAGATTTAAAGACACCTTCCTCATTCAATGAGTAATTCACCCCTGCACTGCCAGGAGTGGGAGAGAGCTGGGATACTCCACCACTGTGGGTGGCTCCAACGCCTAGAGACCTCTCAGTAGAAACAGAGTGTAAAATAATCTAATCCAGTTGTTTATACAAGTGGGATTTCAAACCAGGCATGCTCCTATATGCTCTGAAACCCTCATTGACTTCAATCTCAGTCCAGTTTGAGCCTTAATATCAAGACTGGACCCGTGGTCAAAGGCACCCAGCATGACAGAATTCAAGAAGAATTTGGTATTTTTTTTTATGTTTATCCATGTTTTACCTTCTTTAGGCAATGCCTACTTTCTTACCAGAAAGCTTCTTACTTAAGGAGGTTTGGTGTGACAGAGGCAGACATGAAATCTATTCCCTATGTCCTCAACTGAGACCAGCACAGGAAAGCAAAGCCCTGCTCGTAATCACAAATGGAGTTTAGGAACAAGAATCCTAATGATGTGTGGCATCATTGCCTGTTACACGGAGTAGCAGGGCCATTGTGTCTGTGTAAGGGAAGACCCCTGGGTACCCGCTGCCTTCCCATATCACAGCCTTTCATACAAAGTAGGAGTTGAGTATTTTTATCTTCAAAGCTTTTATTTGCTTTTCCCCTGTCAGTGTTTAAAGGCTCAGCAATTTGTACCATCTAGCTTTTATACTTATGCTTATTCAAAAAAAAAAACAAAAAACAAAAAACAAAAAACCCAGCTGTTTTACTAGCTGAGATGACATAATTTCTTTCTTGCCTATTACCCCCTTCCTCCACACCTCCACCACCCCCCCTTAAAAATTCCCTAACAACCAGCCTTAAGTTTAAAGTGTAGGAGTCTTAGTTCATGTCAAAGAGTCACCTTTCTTCCCAGGGAGGTCTGTGGCACAGAATGAGACCAAATGACATTTGTGAAACTTTCTGCTTGGCACAAAGTTGCAAAAAAATCTGTATGTTCTCATTACCATTTCAGTAACTCTTCTGTACACCAGTAGTGTCACAATACACCTGATTCAGAGCAGAGTAGCTGCCTGAGTTTCAGGTAGGTTCTTCCTGATTCAGATCTCTGTAAGCAAACTATAAATTAGCTCTCTGTTCTTAAGGTGCCTGCTGAAGGTCCTGTTGTTCTGCAAATCCTGTGCAAGTCTGAGAGGTTCCTCATTCAGGGACTAATGCTGTTGAATCAGAATGGGTGCTACTGCTTTGAATGGTATGCGGACAAAATACAAATGGATCATGGGTGTTTAAGAGGACAGAGCAGAGCTTTGTTTTTCTTTTTTGTTTTTTTTTTTGTTTGTTTTTTGTTTTTTTGTTTTTTGTTTTTTTTTTTTTTTTTGTTTTTTGTTTTTTTTTTTCTTTTTCTTTTTTTTATAACAATCCACTCAAAATATTTACCATTGAGAAGCTGATGTTTTCTCCAGTAAAGAACCTATTGTCCACTTCAAGGCAGCTGAGAACATACTCAGAGTATATACTGGTTAAATTGTTTATTTTTAATGGAGTGCACATGGCATTGCTATCCTGGAATTGAACATAAATACATAGCTGTCGTGGGGGTTTTGCTGAGAAAGAAAAACCTGTAATGAATTAAATATGCTTCATGAGGAAAGAAGTAGGTCAAGCATTGGGTTAGATTAACCTCATGTTATACAGAAAGACTAAATTCTGTTGTTTTCACCTGTGGGACTTTGGACTCGTCTACACACCAAATTATTCCAACACACTTACTAGGTACATTGCAGTAATTATTTTCGACTAAAACCATGTGTAGACAAATCTTACACCAGCATAGGAATTCTCTTTCTTGAATTATCTTAATCTAGTTTGAAAGTGGATTAAGTGGAACCAGGAAACAACTTGGTCATTCCAGAATGAATCAGCTATCTGAACACAGTTCTGCTTTACATTCACATCTGACCTTATTCCAGCATAATTTTCTTGGGCTGAGAGGCTCTTAGGATATATCTGCATAGCAAATGAATGTGTGATTATAGACATACCAACCTTTCCTTTACTCTCACTAGCATGAGTAACAGCAGTAATGAAAGATGGTAGCAGAGACCTCAGTACAGCCTATTAACTGGGGCATAGATGCAGCTGGTTGTGAACAGCCTCTGCTGAAATCCACCTCATCACACCCTCACTTCAGACACAACTCACGTCCCTTAGACTAACGCCGGGGCTGGGAATGCCTCTCTGCAGCTCCGGTGTGTACGCACACCAAAGATTGCATATGCGATAGGACCGCGCAGCTGAGCTAAATGGAAAACAGGTGAATTTAACTTCAGAGGTTAATCACATTGGAGAAGAAGCATGGCTCACACATTTTTAATATACACACCTTTCACAACCAAATAAAGTGTCAGCTGTGTGACTGCAGAGGCCAAATTAAATATGCTGTAGACGAGCAGAACTCAGTTGATTTCACTAGGGCTGAGTTTGGCTCCATAGGTGAGATCTTGCTTATTTGACTAATACTTGTTTTGTTGCCTATCTGCTCATTTATTTTAATGAAATTAATGCATTTTAATGTTCCTTTAAGTGCATTCCAAAAATAGCAATTTGATTAACTAATTCACTTTTAAGAGTGTAACAATCACAAGTAAAAATCTCCCTGTTAGCTGAGGTATGGAATAATTGCAAGTAGCATCTTGGGTAGCTATGCCATACCCTTCATCCTTTCAAACAAATTCCCCACATCAATCAGAAGAGCCTCACTTAAAAATGAATGGTGAAATATAGACAACAATCAAGCTGTACGCAGTGCTTTTCAAGTCTACCAAAAAAGTGTACCAGTAATGTACTCTGTGCTCTGCTGAGACAGTAAACTTAAGACAGCTAAGAATTTAGCCTAAAAGCAGTTCAAAACAGAAACAGAAAACAAACTTGTCTTTCTAGCCAAGCCAGAAAGCATCTTGAGTAGCTTGGGGGTTTTTTTGAAGGAAAAAAAAAAAAAAAAAAAAAAAAAAGCACGTTCAATTTCAGGCTCCTTAAAATGATGCTTGGATTGTACTGCATTCCAAGAGGATTTCTTTTTTTCCCCAGCTCTTTTGTGAGTTGGAATAGATGCTCTCACCATTTAAAATACGGTGCTGTGGAGAGCACAGAGTCCAGCGACAGAAAAGGCGTACGCTAACTTCTTGCTGACTTTATCTCCTTATAAAAACTGGAATAACAAAACCTGATTAGTAAGAGTATTAAGCGAAGGCAATTTTCCATTTTATTGTATTTAAATGAGAAAAAAATGAAAGCGTTAAGGCTTATATTAAGCCTGAACAGAGGCAGTTGCAAAAAATTTAGTTTCAGCCCTGCTACATGTGTCCCTTCATGAACTCCACTGCGCTGGTTACACATGTATCGGCAATGTTGCAGCTCATTATTAACCGAGGTGGTGCAAAACGAAAAACAGAAGAGTTAAATTTGACTTTGAGCGCTGCTGGGATGCTCCGTGGTCACCGTGCAGGCGGTGTGGCATTTCAGCAGTTGGGGATATTAGCAGTGTGTGTGTAACGATTCCTCTCTAGCTAAAGGGGCGCTTAAATCTTGAGCTACCATGGAGAGTTTCTTTGGAAGCGAGGCCTGGTTCTGGGAACGCTTTTGCACGCGAGTTAAATCCCACGTGCAAAAGGTCCTCGGAGTTTAGCGAGACCGTGCGTGCAGAGTTACAGGATTTGCCTTTTTAAAAGTACAAAGATGAAGGAGAGAAAATGCAGGTGGCTTGCCGGCCCCTGCCCTTGCCCGTAACGCGGCTCAGAGCCTGCACCGCGGTCGCACCGACTTCGGTGCCGACGGCCGGGCCTAAACCCGCGCTCTGTTTTAACGTTTATAAACCGCTCTCCTTTCCGAAATAGCTGCTCCGCCGCCCTCGCCGCAGAGGTAGGGAGAGCCGGCCTAGAAACACGCGTGGCCGGGCCCTGCCCGTGTTGCGGCGAGCGCCGCCGCCATTGTGCTGCCGCGCCGCGCCACGCCGCCCTCCGGCCCCGCAGCCCACGGGGCGCGGCGGGGCACCCCCGATCGAACCCGCGGGTAGAGGGGCTCTGTGCGGCGGGGGCTCCCCCCACCCCCTTCCCCCCCGCTCCTCCAGCCTTCCCCTGCAGAGGCTTGTAGGACTTCGGGGCGGGGGGGGGCGCGGCGCCGGGCCTGCACGGCAGCGGCAGTGCGGCGGCTGCACCGCCAGTAGCGTTACTCCTCGCCTACCTTCCTCTTGCGTTTCGGGTGCTTTTTAAATTTTTTTTTATTATTTTTTAATTTTTTTTTTTTTTTTTTTGTGGTGTCCTCTCTCCCCGCCCCCCCCCGCCGTGGCTCGGCAAATGGCCTGCTGGCGGCTGGCGGCGTGTGCGTGGTGCCCGTGTGTGTCCCCGCGTCCCCTGGGCGAGGTGTCCCGTCCGCCGCCGGAGGACTCGGCCGTGGCACATCCCCCCTCCCCGCCCCCCGTTTTCGATAGTTGTTTTTTTTTTTTTTTTTTTTTTCTTTTTTTTTTTTTTTGGTTTGGTTTTGTTTTGTTTGTTTGTTTGTTTGTTTGGTTTTTTTCCAGGTGGGACTTGGCGGTGACCGGCGAGGCTCGCCTGGCACTGAATGTCACCCTGAAGGTAAAATGAAAGACAAAAAGATGAACGCATGCCTGCTCCCCCCGGCCGCGCCGCCGCCGCTCCCCCGCGCCCGCCGGCGAGCGGCCGCCACCATCGCGGGGCGGCAGCCCCCGCCGCGCCCCGGATTTCCTGTCCCGGCTTTTTATTATCTCGCTTTAAAAAAACCCCCCAAAACAAAAAAACCACCCCAAACCGCAGAAAACCCGCATGCGAGAGGAACGTGCACGTACCCGGTACCGAGCCCAGGAAAAACCCGGCCGCTTCCCCCTTCTCCTGCCAAGTTATCATTGAGAAAACAGACAGGCGGCGTGACGTCCCGGGTCAGGCCGAGTGCGGACCGGCGCTACCAAGGCGGCAGGGAGGCCCGGGGCCGCCGCCGGGGCCGGGGCCGCGGGGCCCGGGGCCGCCGCCGCCCGCCCGCCGCCGCCCCCGCCGCCCGCCGCGCCGCGCCCGCCGCCGCCGCCGCCCCCCGCGCCCCCCGCCCCGCCGCCGCGGCGCCGAGCGGCCTGCCGCCCGCCCCGGGCTCCCCCCTCGCCGGCGGAGGTCGCGGGAGCCCAGTTAAAGGAGGCGTGTGTAAAGATTTTGCAATGTCCCTGCATGGGGTTGTAGACTTTCCTAGCAAAGAAACCGGCTTCGGCTTCTTTAAAATCCCCGACGACTCACCTGATTAACCTGCCTGCGGTTCTGAGCTGACCAGGTAAAGCGAGCCCCCCCCTCTCCCCCCCCACCCCCCCACCCCCCACCCCCGCACCTCTGCGAGCTGACATTGCATCGGGGGCATGTTTTTGCTTGGAGACGAGTCGCTGCCAGAAGCGCTTACCCCCAACCCCCCCCATTCCACCTTCAGACCTTGCCAATTGCACTTGCTCAGAGTCATTGCGCCCCCCCCCCCCCCCCCCAAAAAAAAAAAAAAAAAAATCAGCTTCGTAAAAAGCCGCACAACAGCACCGGCCACCCGGGGTATACTGGTTCTCGCCTCTCGGACAATTATTTAGAATTATTGGCCCGGGGTTGGGGGTGGGGGGACGCGGGGGTGGGGGGAAGGGAGAATGATTTTTCTTTTCTGCTGACAGATCCTACCCCGGCAGGTTTTTGTCCTCCCCGCCGCGTTGCGCAGGGTCAGGAGTGCCGGGGAAGTGACGAGGCTTTAGCCAGCAAGAGTTTGGGGCCGGGGTCCCGGGGTGGCTCTGGCGGTTGCGAGCGGGCAGGGGGAGGGACCGGACTCTCCAAGCTTGTGCCCGGGCGCGTGTGTGACTGTCGCGACGGCTGCCCGTGTCGCTCGTGTCCTGCCCCCCACCCCGGGGTCCCCTTTCGGGAGCCCCGAAGTGTCCCGGCTGCGGCGCGGCCCGGGCGGCGGCGGCGGCGGGGCCCGCCCGCCCCGGCATGGGGGGGGGGGGGGGGGGCCGTCCTCGTCCCCGTCCCTCCTCCGCCGCCCTCTCCTTCCTGAAACACCTCTGCCCGCGGCCGGGGGGAGCGGAGAAGGCCCGGCCGGAGCGGGGGGCTGAGGGGGGGCATTGCTGCCGGCGCGGCTGGGTGTTCCTTCCTTGGTGTCCCCGGCTGCTGGAGCGGCGGCGTGGCCGTGCCACGCGGGACGCGCTCCGGGCTCTGCTGGTGCCGGCGTGTCCGGGACCCGCGGCCGGGCGCAGGGGGGGACACACGCACACAAAAAGGGAGCGGGGCCGCTCGCACCCAAAATCAGGAGGGGGGGCGAAGGAGAGTGTGGAAAGTCAAGGCACTGCTTTGCTCCTCACGATACTTCGCCCTCCCAGCTCCGGGCGGGGGCGCGGGTTTAGAGAAGTGGTCGCATATGGGGCTTTGACTGTGACCTGGCTGCGAGGAAATTTATCTATCCATCTATCTATTTATTTATTTATTTATTTCCCTTTTCCACTGGGCATTAATGCTATGAGGGAGCAAGTGGTCTGGGGGTATATTTTGAAGTGCTGCAGGGGCAGCGCTCTGACTACTTGGTCTAGTTAATATGTTTCTCGTGATACCAAAGCAGAGAGGACTGCATTTAGGAGATGACTAAATAATGGGGGAGGCAAGTAAAAATGAGTGGAATATAAAGGAGAGGAAAATGAAGGTGAATGGTAGTGTGGGAAGGCAGGCACTGAGCAGCTTGGGTTTCTCTCCTGTAATTCCCTCCCCCACTCTTCCCCCCCCCCCCCCCCCCCCCCCGTTTTTTTCTTTTCATACTATTAAGGAGACTCGAACCCAACAGAAAAAGGAGATGACCCCACACACGCTTCAACCTATCGTCATTTGTGTCCAGGAGGGAAATCTGAATGCCCTTTGTATAAAACCACCAAAGTTTTAAGGGTTTATTAGCCATCCTGTCTCAAACACAAAGCATGAAAGTTGCCCGATACATTGTAGCATTACTTCCCTGTTTTATTTCAGAGGACAAAATGTTCTGGTGTAGCGTACCTACCGTCACTTTCAGAATGGGACTAGTTTACAAAATAACCTACATTAGATTATATACGTGGTGCGTGTGTTGCATTTCCACTGAAAATAGCCAAAACTTAGAATGATGAAGCGACTTGTGGTTATGATATTCCTTGTCTTGAGAGCATCAATGTAGCTGTGGTTCTGTGTGCTGGGGTGGGGGGTTCTGTGGTGTGAAGGGTTTCATGCCCGTTCGGGAAGCTGGCAGGTCTCCTTTTAGAGGACTTTACAGTTTAAAATGTGCCAGGGGCAGGAGAAGGTAAACACGACATTCAGTGTGCTCATTATCAAAATAAGGAAAACAAATCGATTGCATTAACTGCGTGTGCAGTATCACAGCTATTCCACAGTATTTTGTCAGAAATTAAAAGGTTACCACTAGAGTACCATATCCCTATCTCAAGCCTGGCACCACTTATTACTGCAGCGGTATTTCAATATTAAGTGATCTTAGAGATATTTCATCTTTCATTTTGAATCCTGAATTTGAATCAGCATTAGGATGTCAGGGCTGCGAGATAAGGTATAACAAACTAAGTAGACAGCTGAAGGGCTCCCGGTGAAGGTGTTGCTGAGAAGGATATCTTGGGCCGTTCGCAGTAACCTTGTTTACAGGGACATTTCAATTGCAACCTGAATTTCAGCGAGAGGCTGCCTGGACTAATGCCTGCGTCTCTGAAACCCATCACGAGTGTCTTTTGCACTCTCAACCTTCTCTCTGCCTTCCTTGCCTACTTGCAAAAACTTTTGGGGAAGGTTAGGATGATTTTCTGATAAGAAAATTAAGATGTTTTCCTAAGAGGAATGCTGCTCTTTGAACTCGTGTACATTAGCAACAAAGTATTCATGAGGTTTGATTTTTTTCTGGTTCTCTGATGTGTCAGGATCAGTAGTTACACCGGTCTTTTTAACTTCACGTATACGGCTTTGATTTATTATATTTAAGCCTCGGTGGTTTCGAACCTATTTTGCAGCACATGAAGTCGGTTCAAGTCAGAATGTGAAAAGATGCATATTGTAACAAGGAACAGTTTTGTAGTGATCTGCTAATTTTTTGTTTTCTTTTCCTAAAGCTGTTCCAGGAAAATCACGTGCATTTAGTGAGTGGGTGCTAAATGCCAGCAGCCACATTGATGAAGAAAGATGCTGTTGAAATACTTTGGAATAATAAATAGGATACGTAATGGTCAACCACAAGATAAAAATTTTACACAGTGTTTTTATGGCTCTAAATTGGTTGCATTGTAAACCAAGCTTACTACTCTATTAAGTCATCAGTTTTCAATTATTTAAGATTTCTAGTCAAGCTATCTAATATAGTCTTCATTGTCCATATCAGAAAATTATACATAAGGTTGTAATCCCTTGTTGTTGGTATGTGAGGGCTTTGTTGTGGATGGGGGTTTAATTTTGCCTTATCGGGACAAGTACTACAAAGCATGCACACATAAAAATCATATGGAAATGGCCCCGGTCCTACGAAATGGGGATAGTTACAGCACTGAAATGTACCTAATACAATTTGAGATCCACTCACTAAGAAACCTTGACAGTATCTGCCTTGCAGGTACCGTGCATTTGGAAATACTGTATCTCCATTTAAATGCAGATCTTCAGTTTTCTCCAGGGGGCAGTTGGCGAATCTTTCGATTGAACCACTGATACTAGAAAAACTAACTGGAGATTTACCCATGAACAAGAGACCCTTTCAAGTCTGCCTTTTTGAAATAATGATTATAAAATTTTCTAATATTGAGATTTTATATTGATTTTGAATGCCTTTTCAAAAGTCACAGGGAAGGAGTAGTGTCTTTTACTTAAGGTAGGCCAATGTTTGCATGCTTGTTTAGCAATCTTAAGAGAGAGAACTGCTACAAATAAGTTCTTTGTTTTGATATGGGTATTGTGTTTGCATGTGAGTTTTTTCAAATGGACAGAGCAGTCTTGCTTTGATTTTGACCTAGATTCCTCCTGATTATTCCTATGCAGCTAGTACCCGCTTATTTCCCACTGTGAAAATAGGAGAACAACTGTTGATGCTATCTAGCTGGGGCTGCATGGGCAATAGGCACGCGTGTCCAGTTATCTCCCCTCCTCCTCCTCGGCTTCATTAGTAACAGATAAAATAGCACTGCAGTCCAAAGAGGGTGCAAGCCATTATTTCCTCTCCTGTGTATTTTCATTCTTTGAGGGTTTGATTCAAAGGAAGACAGAAAAAAACGAAAACCAAAACAAACCCAAACAATACCACAACTGGGTGGAATCAGTGAATTTATTTCTGTTTCCAGATTTGGCACACAAATTTTGCACACTTGCAGGGATGAACAGAGCTATGTTTTATTTGAAACAAGTCTCAGATCCAGCTTACTCCATATTCTCTTGAAACTCGGTGCCAGTAGGTATCAGCCCTCCTTAGAGGGGCCTGTCCCATCCAGTCCCATTTTCTATATTGTTTGCTGGCTGTCTGGGTTGCGGTGTAACCCAAGGCATTAAAAGCCCTGGACGTAGGGAACGGGAGCTCCCTGTTTGGGGTGCAGGCAGCACAAACTACCTGGTGCAGGGGAGAGAGGAGATCCTGACCTTCTCTGTGCTGGGTGCCATCTGCCGCACGTGTTCCCGGCCGCTCCAGTCTCCCCACCACAGGCATGGGTGCTGCCCCGGGGTGCTGCCCGTGTCCCTGTGCCAGAGCCATAGGGCCTGTGGAGCTATCATCCATATTATGCTCACCTGCTAATGGCATATAAGCCATCAGCCTCAATACCCTGGAGGAAACATGCACTTCAACTTCTACGTGGAGTTCAGGCAGATCTGCGAAGTCCAGACTTACGTGCACCAGCCTTAATGGCAGAGCTCCCATTCAGCTTAATTGATATTCCTATAAACATCTGCAGGTTTCTGTTTCTAGTGGAAGCTACAGCTGGGTGGACTTCTTAAATGAATATTTTGCATATT